AAAAAATACAGTATGTGAAGACCAGTCCTACTACAACCACACAGCTTTACCCATACTATACACCATGATAAAGTCTACCACTTGCTTCAAGTTTTTGTGCATCATAGATGACTGCATGATCTAGCTAGGTAAACTTTCAGAAAGTACCAAAGAGTGGGTGGAGTTCCGCTGTCCATCAGCAGTGCTGGTAGGTCACATTTGTCTCTCTATCTCCTCTCTTACCTTCACCACAATTAGTCATATAAAATTTTCAAAACCACCACTGGAAAGCTCAAGAAATTCCAATTCAATTCAATTATATAACTATACTGTATACAGGTATTAATAACAAGGTAGGTTTGTGAGAAAATCCCGAGATATAATGCTGGGAAAAAAAATTATTTATTCGGAGTGAAAAATATACTGTACAGTAGGTTTAGTCTGTCTTTTTTCTTGCATATGTTAAACCCCAAACAATAATGAAACCAGTGACGTAAAAATCATGCAAAAAACACAATATCTTGTAGAATAAATTGACTGCAGAATGAAAATGACCCGACCTCACGTGAGTGATCCCATATGACTTTTGTCATGGTTATGGAAACTTAAAAACTTATTACGTGCACACGAGGGTTAAGGTTTCATTTCTTAGATAAAATTAAATATTTGTAATACTGTACTGTATATTTAATTAAATAAGTTTTTGAAGGTCAAATAAATATTGTAAACATTAAACAAAGACAGTCAATAAGCTGATGATAACGTTTCCCTGCCCCAATATATGCAGCACAAGAGGGAACATCGTCTACTCGCAGATATTTCAAGTTACTGTACAGTATTAATATTTAATATTCTATTGCCTCCCACAAATTTCAAAGGCACAAATATGAAATAGAAAAAACAATCAGGGACTGATGTACGTAGTACTCTTCAATGGTGTTCAATAAATAAGTTGGTATTACAGTACATATTTTCATTACCTATAAGAAGAAAATTTGATTTGTGTGCATTTGATATAAGTAAGGTTTTCAAGAGCATAATCCCTACATAAATCATGGGCCTAAAATATTTCAAAGGAAAATAATTATATGCCCTATTCGAAATTGCTGATATTGTATCTAGTTGCAGAGAGTAGCCAATATCTAAGATATTTCATAAAATAATGGAACCCTGGTCAGGACCTTTTAACCCCCAAGCTTCAGGTCACGTCATATGACGTTTTGTTCTTTCGCAGGCTTATTTGAATTAAAAAGGCATGCCTGGCTAGATTATGTTGCCAAGTATGTGTTTATCTTTCACTCTCACAAGAGAGCCTCCCAGTCAATTCTCAGTAGCTTCTCAGCTTTTATGATTAGGAATCTCACCTTTGGGCTTGACTCACTTCACCATGTGTTTCAACCCACAACCCCCCCAAGCACAAGTCTAGTATAATGATCAATTACTAGAACAGTAATAATATTTGTTAACAGTGTAAACAGTAATAACACAGTAAAACAAGTGTCCTGTACCTCATACTGCCTACAAATTAGTGTTCTTACCTTGTACTATTGCATCACATACACACGCCCCTTCACGAACATTCTTGACTCTTTCTAGCCCGTGTTGCCAACTGTCATGGGTTGCGTTGGGCCTCCCGCACAACCCATCCCAAATGTTTGTTTACGGTAGAGATAAGGTAACCGGCCAGCCATAACTGGGACATGTTTTCAATTAGTGGTATGTTAGCCAGCCGATAGGGGGGGCAGGTCAGTGAGACAGTGGTGTACTGTTCATCACTTCACGCCTCAAAAAACCAATTTAGCTAGTGGGCTTTAGACCTTGGGTTAGAGAAGACCTCCTGCTTCGCGGACTTAAGAACAGGGGCCATACAGTCCTACCAGTGCTACGAGTCTGTGTGTGCAAATCCCCGAGATTTTTGTTAAGTCCAGCGACAAGTTAACACGTCCTGTAATGGAAGTGATCAAATGGTGAGGGCCTATTTGCTACAAGAGCACTCCAGGCCGGCCTAATAGATCTAAATGATTAATTCTCCAGGTTGACAAACTCTCCCTTATAACTTACAGTACTGTGGCGTGAATGTGAGTGACTATCCTATCCATGCAAATTATAAGTCCAGTGTATGGAATTGTACCAAATAAACGTAAGTGCAATCATCTGCCCGTATCTGTGATCCCTCTATTATTATTACCAAGGGTAATGACTGATTGGTTATGACAAAGTATAACTAATAACTTAGATGGATGTTGGAAGTTAATGGAATTCATTAAATCATCACTTATCAAATACACAACGCATTGAATGCCGGAAGCAGTGAAATTCTACGTAGTGATACACCATAATCCCCTGGGTGAGTAACCAGTGTGAAGGTATCCGAGTTCTACGGTAAGAAAACCACTTTCCTGCATTTAAAATGTAACACCAACCTGTGATAACGACATGTATTTATTTCCTTTTTATATCACGCATGGCCAGTTTTTAAGACTAGAATTATTTTTTAAATGTTTTCGAATATACCCGACCATAGCCCAAAACCCAGGGGTTAAAGTGGTTGAAAAGAAAAAAAAAAGAGGTGGCTAATACTCTGAAGAACCAGTTCAAAGGAGTAACACTGTAGTTCCTAACCTGGTAATATGTAGAAAGAACACAATCCCAAAACAAAGAGGTTCTAAGATACTGTTGAAACACTATCAGTTCATAAAATAGACACTTGGGTGCAACACCACCTAAAACCAGTACAGTGCTGTACAGTACTGTATAGTATATGTTATCAAGAAAAGGAATGATCCAACATTGAAGCATATTAAGAAAGTACTGTACAGTCAAGACAACAGAATGAACAATTGCCAGTCCAAGAAAATAAATGAGAGCAAATGAACATGGGACATTTCTCAACCAAAAATAATTATCCTGCAACTCCACATATACAGTACCTGGGATAACAAAATGCCCTACAATCTTAAATGAGAGACTATTATTATGCACTTTCACACCACAATTATTGAAACCAATCCATTGAGTCATTGTCAAGTTATCAAGCAAATTTATCATAGATGGACTCAGAGAAGGACAGCATCACTTCTATATTCCCCAGTATTTTTGGTTTGGAGTATAATTAATCCATGAAGTCTAGAGTAAGTCACTGAAAGGAAACAAAGTTTGCCACAAATTACCTGAAATTTGACGTCAAAGGCTTTGAAGACCATAACTTCCTTAGGCAATGCATATACAGTAACAGTATTGTAAAGCCACTCAATTTCCTTACACATTCACGACAAGGTATAATGTAAAGAAAAATTACACTTGGTAAGTTCTAAATAATGTGGCTTCACAAGCAATAACGTCATAATAGACAAGTTGGTCACACAAACACGAGCAATGTTTTTATTCTTAAAACAACTTTTAAACTCTACCTTCACTTGGAAATTATTAACTTCTACAACTCTATACTGTACAGTACTATAATATCCTTCCTATGAATTCCATTCACAAATCTCTTTAATCTAATATCTTTCTCCTTTGTCCACCATTATTCTTACACACTTATGCAAGCAGCCCTTTGCATGTGAAAACTGCATGAAGACTGCCAATCAGCAAATATATCACACAACAACCTAGCCCTACCAGATAAGAGCGTGCTTGGAAGTCCTACATGTAATGCCCAGTTCTCACTCTCTAGAAGTGGACTGGGGACCTTCAAAATTTGCTTCATATTTGGCTGATATTCACCAAGACACCAGGCCATTAGGTAATCATGGCTAACCGACACAAGAGGGTAATGGTCATACACAATGATGATGATATCAAACAGTTACAGAGCACTGTTAAACCGAGACAATTTGCCTAACAAAAAGAAGAATACAGTATGATCCTTTAGGATAATCTACTGGGATTATCTCAGAGACAAAGTGAGACAATACAAAATAATCATGCCATGATTTAGTAGTAAATTTCATGTTCGTTAACAACGTGGTAGTAATGAATCACTAACACAGTAAAGTTCACTTGTACCATAGAATTTACATACAATTGACAGTGACATTATGTGCATAGCCTTAAAAAGGAAAAATAATGTGTATAATGTACAGTAGGGTCGGGATATACTGTGAGATAGGGTCCAACGATGTTCGCTATACTGTATACTAAATAACAATATATAATTACATGTAATCAATGGGGAAAATAGGGTTAGGTTCTGGAGACCCCAAAAAGTGACTAAACTTGACTTAATGAATTCATTTTCTTACTAACTAAAGCACAAATGAACACTGGACTCGGGAACAACAGGCTATTTCAATGTCATTATCAATATCAAGGAACACCAGAATCGGCAGCTGACGCACCATCCTGGGAACACCAGACTTGGCAGTAGACGCCACACTGCCACCCTCACTTGACAATCCCACACCTACATAAACGAACACCAAAAATATTAGTTACAGTATTAAATCTTTTTCATTAAGCTTTCCATTATCTTCACTTTACTTTCCACGTCACTAGCAACCCATTTACACTCGCTTTAGAAATTGGAATCCTGCCCAATTTCCCTCGCGAAATAAAAATGTTTATCGCTTTATATATATTGGAAATGCCGAAAATTTTGATAGCCGTGATATAAAAAAAACGCTCTATAATGTCAAGATATATCCCGACCCTACTGTACTGTATTTGCCAAGGCAATCCTCGGCTGCAGACTCATAAATGAACACAGGATTTGTACTGATTTTTTCCATCTAGTCATCCTCTCTGACAGATTTACCAATGTAAATGGCTCAACTGAGTCAGACAGCGACAGCCAGTGATGATAAAAATAATAAGTAGAGAAAAACTTATCTACATTAATTCTTGTCATTGTAATATTTACAGAACTAAAGCTATACAGTAGTTATGAAAGTAGTTTCTATTGAATTTTTTTTTAATAAACAATGATATCCCTGACTTCTAATGATTATCAATTTAAGTGGTACTACTGTAGTCCCCCATGTCACTAGCATAGAATGAAATTAAGGTTTATCACTACTTACCATACAAAGCAGGGGGAGGAATATCCCCAGGCAAGCTTGCTCGTCCAAGATGCATGTATCCCTGAAAAAACAAAGGTAAGCATAAACACAGGTCTGTCATTGACATAAGTACTGTACAAGAGCACAGAAAATAAAAGAAAAGTCTTCTTCAATACACAGATAATTAGCACTAAAATTTCACAACTTACAGAGGTAATTAAAAAAGTCCCTGTGATATGAACAAGCAAATACTGTACAGTGAATGATACACAACTCAGTTCAGCTTCAAATTAGCATGATCCTACTCCTCTCCCATGTTACAGCCATACAGGTAAGATAATCTGACAAGATAAAGAAAATATTAATACCATATTTCAAGTCTTTGTGGGTTCTTAACTGATTTAACCATAGCATTTTACAGTATTCTGTACAAAATAAGTAAGGACCAATTGCAAGAACTGCTGTGGTGTACACCACGCTGTGGTATCCCGGCAGTCGTAATACAATGGAGTAAAAATGTTGTGATTTTTCAAGTTGGGCCATGGTGGTACCCGACCATCGTTTGTTGTTACTACGTCATCGTAGTGTAGTCAGGTGTACTAACTGGCGGAAGACTGGGAGGTTGGTATGCTTGCACCCTCAATACGTTTACTTTTGCTACACGATTTACGAGCATGAAAAACCTGAATCCCAAGCTAAGGTGCACCTCATTTTCCTATTTTCTTGGATTATAAGCCTATTCTGTGAATGAAATACGATCACTTACAGTGAATATAGGTAAATAAAGCCGGTGACAACCATAAAAACGTAGGAATAGTGTAATGTCTGTTCCTTTCTTCTTTATCCTTATTAAATCTAACAATAAAGTAAAAGGTTTGTCACAAACTTGGGGTTGGGTGAGTGTAAATAAAGAGAACTATGGCCTGTTCTGTGGATGAAGTCAGTAGAATATAACAAAGTACAGTACTGTATTAGGTATTATAATTTTGCAATGACAGTGATGAACTCACTGTTCAGATGAATTGGGATAAATTTTTGAAAAAATATCACCGTAACTGTTAGTTTTCTATCAAACAGAAATTATCTTTGTACTAAAAAAATTTGTACTTTCATACTATACAAGTATAAAGGCCAGTTATCTACAAGATATGAAACCTTGAGATAATGTTTCCTACTCGTCTCCACCTGATTATAGTAATGCAATAAATACCCTAAGATAGATAGCAAGACATGAACACTTTCCCAATGTCAGGAGTAAAAATATATACAATATATTAATGACATGGACTAAACCAGCAGTTGGAGAAAAGTATCTGCTGTTTAAATGGTCTTTTATTTGGAAAAATATTCCATGTAAATAATGTATATGGATCCTCACCAGAGAGTCTTCATATAGTTAGTGTGCAGACATTTGTTTACGAGGCATATACTCACAACTATAATAGAAAGGAAGAAATGTTAGGTTAGGTTAGGTTACATTAGGTTCATCTTGTGAGCAAATGTCATGGAACCCATATACAGTAGATATATTCATGAAATTCTACCAACTAATCAGAGACTAAAAATTTAAAACATAAAACAAGATGATAATCAAATGGTTTAAAAATATCCTCAATACAGTCTGCAATGTTAATTGCAAATTATTTCTGCATTTTGTAATGTTTAATATAAACTAATAATAACAAGGATAAGAATACAATGATAATGCTTATGTCAGAATATAGCCTTTATTAAAAGCAGGATAAGTTATAATATATGGATGATCAAGAGTAAAACGCAGGTATTTTAAAGGAAAAATCATCCACAAATTTCACAAATATATTAATACATAATATCCATGTACTGTGGTAGTAGGCAGCTACCAAACAGAGAGGTACTACCGCCTGGGAAGATATTGGAAGCATAATGTGTTGTCTTATGGTAGACCCTGCTGCCATATGGCATCACGAAAATTGTGACCAAGTCCCAGTTGCTGATCTGACTTTCTGCTTCATTTACATGCAATTGCAGTCTCAATTGTTTCTCTTACCATTGACAACACAACATACATACATCGTTTCTCACTTTTGATCTTTTTTTTTCATTTTTGTATTTATAGTTCTTTATTATTAATATTATCATTAGTTACTAAGCAGGTATTTTTATTATTATTTTATTATCTTATTTTTGTTTGTTTTATCGTAAATTTTATTTATTATGAATTAATATGACTATTATTTATTATTATTATTATTATTATTATTATTATTATTACATTTTCAGCCTACAGTGTAAAAAAAAAAATTAATTACCGTATATCTCGGCCTAAAAGGCGACGGGGTGTATAAGACGGCCCCCAAAATTTCCATTTAAAAAGTAGCTTTTGAGCCCTATTCGCTGTATAAGACCAGTACCCCAAATGTGACACTTACCATTGGGAGCTTACTGACCCCGTAGTCCTTTACCAACCATCCCATTGACCAGTGCTGTTTACACATCCTTGGTTTTTTAAAATAAGGCCAATTCACTTCAAGTAATGGCATCAAATGTTACAGGTTGGTGTAGTGTAAACACTAGTGACTCACTTAAAAGTCTGTTATTTAACTTGAACTAATGTCGGCGTAGAATACAATTGTTTCATTTACTTGAAATGGATTTACTGATTTATTTGTTTATTTATTTATTTATAACGTCGGCCCTTAACATACGCGGGTTTATAATACACGGATTTGCAAATACGCGGATTGCCCCGCCGGAGGAATATTCTGTACATTGAAGTACATTCAAATCGCGCGCCATTCAACTCGCGTGCGGCACCGTACACGGGACACCGCCCGCTCCCGCAACCTCACACACACACACATAGCTCTCCCTCACTCAGTCAGTCTCGCTGTAACCATGCTTGTGTTGACATCAGCATTGTAGTTGCAAAAATATTACATTTCCGTGAATGTATTATATCAAGCACAGTATGAATAAAATATCACTAATATAAGAGTATTTTAACCGAAAACTACTAAAAAAACGAGTAACATATCTTGAACATCGGAAGGCTAGGTAAAGTCTTTTGTTTTCATGTAGTTTATCCTAATTTACATTGAAATGCATTTCGTTTCAGCAAAACTACTATTTATTTCTGAGAATATGGAAATGTAATATTTTGCTGAAATGCCGTACGTATTACAGTGGAAAGTGACAAAAGCAATGACTCGCTTTCTTTCGTTCAAAAGATGTTACCGTAATTGCTTTTCGAATGGTTTTCAGTTAAAAAACTGTTGTATTACAATAATATTCTATCCCAATTCACTTGTGATGCAACAGTTTTTTTTAACTGAAAACCATTCGAAAAGCGATTACGGAAACATCTTTTCAACGAAAGAAAGCGAAAGTTATTGTTTTCGTCACTTTCCACTGTAATACGTACGTCATTTCAGCAAAAATATTACATCTCCGTGAATGTAGTATATCAAGCACAGTATGAATATAATATCATTGTAATATAACAGTATTTTAACCAAAAACTATTAAAAAAACGAGTAACATCTCTTGAACGTTGGAAGGTTAGGTATAGTCTTTTGTTTTCGTCATGTATTTTATCCTATTTTACATTGAAATACATCACGTTTCAGTAAAACTACTATTTATTTCTGAGAATATACTCATTCAGGCACAGTTTAGGTAAAATATACATGTGCTGTAACATTTTTTTAATTGAAAACGATTCAAAAAACACGTACCCTCTAGCCCTGTTCAAGGAGAAGACTGGGAGGAGCTGTTTGGTGCTTAAGACGATGACAAGGAAAATGATTTTGATGGATTTTAATGAAAATATTCAGAAAGACCCTGGCACTGTCAAGGAAAGTGGCTGCTAAAGGCTTCCGGGACATGGCAGAGGACGAGATTAGGGAGCTAATTGAAGCGCACGACACTGAGCTGACCGAGGAGGATCTACAGGAGTTAGTAGACTCAGGCAACGAAGAGGAAGCGAAAGGGAAAGAGGATGAGGAAGAGCACCAAGAAATAACATTGGAGAAGTTGGGGGAGATGACCAGGAATATTGAGGCACTGAAAAACCTGGCCTATAGTATGGACCCCTCCATGGTGCGTGCCCTGAAATTCATGCGAGGGATGGATGACGTTTTCGCTCCATACAAAAACATCATGGAAGAAATGAAAGAAAGAGACGACAACTCCCCATCACCATGTTCTTTGATCACCGAAGGAGAGATTTAACACCATCAATCACTGGCGGCAGTGAGGAAGCAGCTGAATCCACCGTCGCCCCCACTTCACCACCCGTTATGGAATTGGGTGACGATGAGCCCGATGACTCCCGTCCTGTCGCCGAGGATAGGTACTGTACAGTAAAGTGAAATTTTTATCTCTTTTTTTTAATAGCTTTTCTTGCCATGTTTATTGTTTGTAAAAATGCACAGCACAGTACAGTTCAGTACTGTACATAGGAAGTGGAGGTGCAGTTATTCACAAAACATTTGTTCGTTATCGGCAGTAGTGACGGGGAGGAGGCAGAGGGGGTGGAGGAGGCAGAGGAGGGAGCGGAGGGAGCGAGTTGGGAGGAGTGGTGACCTTGGACGCGGGAGCAGGGACGAGTGGAGATGCCAGCCAGTACATTACGGGTGTATTAATTGTTTTTATAGCTATTTTTGCATTTTAATATTAAATATTGTACATTACGTTTCAACAAAACTACCATTTATTTCTGAGAACATGGAAATGTAATATTTTTGCTGAAATGATGTATGTATTACAGTGGAAAGTGGGATAAAATTGTGACGAAAGCAATGACTTTCACTTTCTTTCGTTCAAAAGATGTTACCGTAATCGCTTTTCGAATGGTTTTCAGTTGTGGGATTATAAGGCTGATAGGATAGAATATTATTGTAATACAGTACGAGTACAACAGTTTTTTAACTGAAAACCATTCGAAAAGCGATTACGGTAAAATCTTTTGAATAACGAAAGAAAGCGAAAGTCACTGTTTTCGTCTTTCCACTGTAATATGTACGTCATTCCAGCAAAAATATTATATTTCCATATTTATTTCTGAGAATACCTATACTCATTCAGTCACAGTTAAGGTAA